GCGAGGGCGAGAAGGATAATTACGTGGATGTAGGGGGCAGGACGACGACGACGACAATGGAAAGCTAGACGACGACGCCGAAGGCGCAGGCATATCAGAAGCATGAGAACGCGCGAACCTTCTTAGGAGCCACCTTGGCTCAGAAACGCTGGTTGGGGATATTGTGGCAATCGTCATGCAGCTGTCTTTTTCTCGATGGACGCATGCGATCACATCCCAAAATGTTCGACGCCCTGCTTTTTTCGAGTCGCCCGCCAGGGGTCTGTGTCTCCGCGCAGCGTTCTGTCCGTGGCGGTTCGTCCCTCGAGGTCATCAGCGCCCACGCCAGGGTCACCGAGTGGACGCAGGCCCTGGCGCTGATGGACGCCATGGCGGAGGACGCAGCTCGCGCCGCGGGCCTGCCAGGCAGGGAGGACGGCAGTCGGGGAGCTGACAGAAGGGCAACGCCTCGGGCGCCTGGGCCTGTGGCCGCGGGAGCGCCGGCTGCTCCGGCAGCCTGTGGGCGGCATGGGGTGGGGGGAGGAGGGGAATGAGGTGGGAAAAAAGGGGGGGGGCGAGAAGAGGGACGGAGGAGGGGGTGGAGACGAGGGACGGAGGAGGAGGAGGAGGAGGGAGGGAGGGAGGGAGGGAGGAGGGAGGGAGGATTGCAGTCGGGGAGGTGGGCACGGGGGAGGGCGCATCGACCCCCCAGTCGCTCCTGGATCGCCGACGGGGGCCCAGCAGGCCCAGGAACGTGCCGCTTCACTATCGGTGGGCCTGTCGCCGATCGATCGGCGATGCATCGCCGATTCCAGTCCGATGTTTCCCCCCATGCGCCAGTCCCCCTCCCCCCGCACGCCGGTCGTTGAAAGTAGGCACGTGTGGACTCCCCCAGGTCCCAATCTGCTTCCCGCGCCTTCCCACCTCAAGAACCGATGTGCGCCTGCTGTGTTCTGCTATTCTCTGGGAGGGCCTGGACCCAATCTGTTTTACTGCTTCCCACTCCATGTTTCTACCTGGAAAGCGGTTTTTATTGTTTTTCCTCTGGCGGGTAGCGCTTGCTACCTGGGCCCAACCCCCTGCCACCCCCCCCGGGTACAGGCGGCCCGGATTAGTAGGTCGACCCTGCCAGATCAAGGGTACCCTTGTGTCCTGTGTCGCGCGACCCATGCGTCGCACACTCTTGTGGCGATGTGGCCCTCGAGAGGGTCTTGTGTCCTCTCGCGTGTCCTCTCCAATCAAGCCCGACTGCAACGCTAACGATCGCACGTTTCTGTGGGGGGTGGAGGGCGGGCCGCCCTCCTCTCAGCAGGCATGGCGCGGTGCTCACAGGCATGCCGGGGTGCTCACGCCGCGGCCGCCGTTGCCGCTGCCCGCCGGCCCAAACCCCCCCCCCCCCGGGGTAGCAGCCGTGACCCCTGAGAGTGTTCAGGCGTGGCCCAGGGAGGGGGCCACCTGTGAACCCTACCCCCACTCCAGATTTCGTAATAAAGGGGGGGGGGTCTCATTTCGGGGGGAGTCTCTTCCAGGCTATCTTGGAGGGCCTGGGGGGTCTGGGGACGATGTTTTGGAGGGTTCTCCCACGGGGGGGGGTCTGAAATGGCTCGTCTTGGAGGGTCCAGACCCCCTTCCTTTTATAACGAAATCTGGAGTACCCTCCACGATTTCTGAGCGAAGTGAACCCCGCCCGAGCGAAGTGAACCCCACCCTCCCCCTCAGAAATCGTGGGGGGTAGGGGTAGGGTTCACAGGTGGCCCCCTACCAGGGAGGCCTGGGTTGGGGTGGGTGGATTCTGATGGCCCCCGTCGGCGGCCCCGGCGATGCAGTTGGATGGAGGCGGCGCGCGCGCCGAAGACCGAGAGGTCAACTTTTGATTTGGGGCCAGCGCGCGCCGAAGGCAGGTCAGAGCAGCAATGTTCGATGGTTCTAGGCGGCGTCGTCCCTGGTCAAAGACCAGCATTTTCGCGCGATCGCTCTCGCAATTGTTTGCGCTGGTTCGCGGCGCCCCAGGACCGTTCGCCAAGTCGCAGGCTGGGTCGGTTGTTGCACGCCCGCGAAGCGCTGTCTCATCCCCCTCTTCCTCCTCCCCCCTTTCCCCTCCTTCCCCCTCCCCCCCCCTCCGTCGTCCACCACTCCTCCGCCCCTCTGTCACGCCTGCGGAATCTGGCGGGGGCGCCCCGATCACCTTCAGATGCAACAGGTTTGGGCAACACAGTCCAGCCATCCATTAGATGCACAACACATGCGGTATTAGGGCCATGATGGCAGTATTTCGGGTTTTCTCTTTCTAGCGTTCTCGAAGCCGCCAAGGGCTCTCTCTAGGGGCCCCTTTGCGGTTTTGTCGCGCCATCGTTGGGCACCCTTAGGGCCACGGAACGGCATCGCACACAAGCGACGATTACAGCCACTTGTACGTTCATGGCGTTGATGGAGATTCGCTTCTTGCGCTGACGGGTGGGGGCGCCTTACGCCCGCAATGTATCTGGATCAATATTCAAAGCAGGCCGCGCGGCCGCCAGGAAACGTAACCGATGGCATTTGGACCCATATAGGGCTTATGCGCTATCTTGGATGCCATGTTGGACCATCTGGGGCCGTCTTGGAGGCCTGTGGCGCTCGTTGCGTCGCTCATGCAAGCGACGCCTGGAGATGAGCCGACCTGGTTCCACTTTTCTCCGTCCGTAGCTCTCTGGCCCAGGTCATTCGAAGCCCAAAGGGAACGACCTATATCCCCATCTAGGGGGGTTAAGCGGCCAGTGGGGCCCAGGCCACGCCGTTGGGGATGGGGATCAGTTAAACGATACTCAAAAATTGGTGCCTTCTCTTGTGCCCGACGCGGGCTCGATGCAGACTCGACGCGGATTTGGCGTGGATGCGACGCGGACTCCGCACAGATCCGACGAGACCGACCTGGTTTCGACACGGACTCGACGCGGGTAGGACCGCGACGGGACAGACGAGGTCCCCCGAGGATGCAGCAGAAGGTGTGGGGAGGGGGGTCCAGCGCCGACGCGAGAAATCAGTCCTTTCGGACCTTCGAAAGTTTGCGTGTACGTGTGCGTGTGTGTGTGTGTGTGTGTGTGTGTGTGCGTGTGTGTGTGGTGTGCGTGTGTGCGTGTGTGTGTGTGTGTGCGTGTGCGTGTGTGTGTGTGTGGTCTTGTGTTGGTTGCTCTCCCACGGAGGGCCGGCGCCCCCTCTCGGAGCTCGTGTCGATTTCTTCGGTTCGATCCGATCCGATTTCGACTTCTTCGATTTCTTCGATTCGATTTCTTCGATTTCTTCGAGAGCTCTGAGAGGGCCGGCGCCCGCTCTCAGAGCTCATTTCGATTTCTTCGATTTCTTCGATTCGATTCCAAGTCGCTCCGACTCCGGATTCCGATTCGGGGTCCGATTTCTCAATGGAGGCATACTATCCCGCCGATGTCTGCCAATTCGACGTTTCCCGACTCGGCCGCCGATGTCCGCCGGTCCGATGCATTCCGATCGCCGATCCGACTTCTGATTCGATTCCGGGCTCTCCTGCCTCGTTCCGGGGTGGACAGAGCCCCCAACAGTGACACGTCGATGAGTGAGTTGTCCGTCTTCGGTGCTCGAGGATGGCGCCGTGGCCGTTGCTTTCCAGGCTTGCGCCCGCCAGGCTTGGGCCTCAGGTCGTTTTCACTAAACCACGTTTTACGAAAGGGAGGTCTGTCCATCCCCTTGAGAGACCCGTTCCCCACTTCTTGTCGAGGAGATCGGCCCCCTCCCCGTTGCGCTCCGAAGCCTGGGCGCGGAGAGCGGGCCACTGCCCGCGGCGCAGTGCCCCGGGCATGCCTCGGGGCTCCCAGGGAGCGGTGCGCCGCGGAGGAGGTCGGTCACGCTGTGCCCCCCCTGCGCCTCCTCCTCCTCCTCTCCGCCTCCTCCGCCTCCTCCTGTCGCAGGCGATGTTTCTCCCCCAATCCCCGAGTTTCGCCCAAAAAGTTCGGCCGCTCAGAAAAATGGAAAAACCCTGGGATACACCCCAAGGGGGCTATTCGGACGCACCCCTATCGAGGATGGGCACCCCCCCATCGTATATCCCAGGGTTGGGCCCCAAATTTCTGGTCCATTCGGAAACCCCACGAAGCCTGGGATAGGGGTCGACGTATCCCTTGTTATCCTCCTCCTCCTCCTCGGGTCTGTCCATCCCCGACTCGTGAGAGCATCGGTTGCATGGCGACGGCCAGTGCTTCGCAGTGTGTTCTCGCCGGTGGGCTCCAGCCTCGGGGGTCGAGAGGTCGGGGCGCCCCCGGCCTGGTGCGGCTCGGGCTGGACCTGTACTCGTAGGCGATGCTTAAGGAAGCCCAAGTTTTCGGCCAGAGTCTCGATTGTTCTTAATGGTTCAAGTGGTGGAGAGACATGGAGGAGAGACATTACAAATCACAAGTGGTGGAGAGACATGGGAAAGGATTTTGTTGCTGCTATCGGTAAGTTTACTACGAGCGCTCCAACTTCTGAGGGCTGCGGCCCTTTTCCGCCCAACCCCCGAGGGACGCGCTCCGGCGCGATGGTGGCGGTTCCCTTCCCCTTCCCTTCCCTTAATGATTCAATGTAAATCCTAAGATTTGAATAGACATGTTGAGTTCTTATTCGCATTCTGAGGCTATGAATTTCTTCCCCCTGTGATTTCTAGAGCATTTCGCAGGGTGTACACGCTGGTTTTCTGGACTTCGGCTGTGTGCTGTGTTTCGTGCTGGCAGGGAGGTGCCGGAAAACAGGCAGGGCAAAGCGAAAAGCAAAACGAAAGCAGAACGAAGCACGACGTTTCAGGTCCAGCTCTGTCGTGCGACTCGGGCGACTCGAGAAGATCGCGCCAGGTTTTTCTGACGCCGCCCTTGGCGCGCTCCGCACGCGCGGGAGGCGGGGTCCAGCGCTAATTCAAGAAAGCCGCGCGGACCTCCGAGCCTTTAGGTCCACAGTCGGATCGAGGTATAAGATCGAGGCCGGTTCGGGGAGGGTACCCCAATGTTTTCGTGTTTGTTGGATATTTTTGTGCATCCTGGGGAGGGTACCCCTGGATGTGTTGTGCGCTTTGGCCGTCGGAGGGTCTCGTGCTATTGAGGTATGCGTGTCTGTCTCAGGTCCGACAGTAATCCAAGAAATCCGCGCGGACCTCCGAATTGTTAGGTTTATGTCATTGTTTGTTCCTCGACACTTGTCCTGGAAAAGGGTCGAAGGCTCCATCGGCACACGTTGTGAGACAGGCGAGGCGTCGGGCGGCTCGGGTGGGTGGGTTGGGGTGAGGGCGGGCGGTGCCGCAGGAGAAGCCAGGATTTGAGAGAAAGAGGGAACGAAGGCGGGGATTTGGCTTGAGGATGAGGATCAGGCGGAAGAGCAGGAATAATAATAAGACACATGATACTAAGAGGAAGAGGATGATGAAGAGGGGGCGGGAGGAGAAGGAGGCCGCATGGGGTACGATGATGAGCTTGAGGAGACAGCGCAAGAGGAGGAGGCAGGCTGACAGTGCAGAGATGAGGGGATATGATAACTAGGGACGGGACTGCAAGAGCGACGGGGGGGAGGAGCCAGTCGCACACCAGGCGCACGAATGCGGTCGTCTGGATTGTCATGTCTACCAACATTGAGATACGAGGCCAACCTCTAGATGATTAGGAGGTTGTGGCTGGATGGTTGCAGGTTTCGGCCGCGCCAGATTTTGACAGGTTACTCTTTCTCATCGATACGATTATAGCCATTCAAATTCTTTCGAACGTTTCTAGCAGCTATGCCCTGCCACCGTTTAACCATCTGAATAGCCATTTCCCAACCCTCCTATGCGTCGGGTCCTCGTTTTGAACTCGCAGCGCCGCGCTTCTCCTTCCTTCCTGGTTCCTTCTTCTCCCCCCCTCCTCCTCCATCCTCTTCCATCCTCCTCCCCCTCCTCCTCCTCTTCCTCCTCCTCCTCCTTATTCCTCCTCCTCTCCCTCCTTGTCCATCCCCCTCTTCCTCCGCATCCGCCCCCTCTCCCACCCCAGCTGTGTTTGCGCCACGCGCCTCGGCCCGCCCCGTCGCACGTTTCCGGCCCCCCGGAGCTCCACCCGACGGCCCCGATGGGCGCGTCCGCACAGCGGCGCCGCACCAGTTTCCGCACACCTCTCCAGGGCTCGTGTCGATCCCACCGATTCGATTCGATTCGACTTCGATGGCCTCCGACGCCGATGCGGTTCGACTCCGGATTTCGACTTGGATCCCGAGTCCTCAGTGGAGGCATACGTGCTAGCTTGCCAATGTCTGCCGATGCGACTTCTCCCGACGCGGCTGCCGACTTTTCCGTCGATCCGATTCGTTTCCGATCCAACTTGTCGACTCGATTCTGGGCCCTCCTTTCTCTCAGACATTTCCTGCCTCCCAGGGAGCTCCACCTGCGGCCACAGTTTACCAGCCTTCAATGTATCCCTATCCCTAAGATTGACACGCCAAAGGGCGACGACAATCTTGGGGATTCGCCCTCAAAAATAAGGGAATCCCTAAGATTGCCATCGTGATGAGGAGGTGCCCAGCATAGGGATGGGGATATGTTCCAGGCTGGTAAACAGTGGGTGCGTCCGCATGGCGACGCCGCGCACATTTCGGTACAGCACGCACACGCTTCCCCCCCCCCCAGGGAGCTCCACCTACGGCCGAGGGCCTCTGGGAGGCCTCTTGGGTTGTCTGTTGGCCGTAGTGGGGCCGTCTTCGGCTCATCTTGGGCCGTCTTGGAAGGCGCCTCGGGGCCGTCTCGGGCCCTCCTGGAGTCTCCGCCGTATTGGACGTGTATTGCGCAGGTTCGGAGGCAATCTTGGTTGTCTTCAAAGCGGACCGTGGGGACTTTGGAGGGGTTTCCCGATTCAGTGGGAACTGTTTGGGAGGGCATCCATCAATCATAAACCTCGACACGCCAAAGTACCCTGGGGCAAGCCACGGGAGGCGGAAGTTCTGGCGTTCGGCCCAGCTTTTCACCGTTCTGGACGCCCGAGATGGGCACGGAAAGAATGGGTACGATGCCCAACAGCAGTCTTTGTTCATTCTGAACAGGATTCGCTGTCCACGCCGCCGCGGCCTGTGTCCATTCGAGACAGAAGGCCGCCTGCCCAACAGCGGCCGCTGTTGGTTTGGGACAACATTTGTTGTTGGGCATTGTACCCATTCTTTCGGTACCCATTTCGGGTGTCCAAAACCGTTCTTGGGTTGTGGAGCAGAGGAATCGTATATGTCTCGCAGGAGGCCTCCTGGAGGTCTATCTGGGGCCTCTTGCGGTTGCTCGGGGGCCTCCTGGCTGTCTCAGGGGGCCATCTCGAGGGAACAGGCTTGAACGCCAGTTCGTGACGTCTTGGGAGCCCCTGGGGCCCTTTTGGGGAGCTTGGAAGCAGGGCCTTGGAGCAATATTGCATGCCTCCTGGACCGCACTGGGCGTTCTTGAGGCCGAAAAGGCGAGGAGGCCACCATCAGCGTACACACCTAACTTTCAAGTGCTTGGGCAGCTTAGGAGGCGCCCATGAGAGCTCCATCCAGGACGGGCCCCAGGACAATCTGAAACCACTTTGGACGCGTGGGATTCCAACCGGGCCTCGAGGCCGCCAGAGAAGTCACGCGGTTAGCCCCAGAAGCGCCCCTGGGCGTTCGGCCCTTCTGTGAGCAATTCGCGCTCACGAGAGTCACGCAGCAGAACTCACAGGTACCTTGGGGCATTGGGGCACTCTTCTCATTGCCTCGCTTCACGGTGTGGAGAACGTGCACTTTGTTAATACTATACGTAGCTTCACTTGTCAAACTATGTCGAGTAAGGTAACGCTTGCATCTCGTCCTCGTAATATACACCAGGTATTGCTATAATTGGACCAGTTCGTCCGACTTCTCTAGGCGTTCTAATTGTTGCTTCTTTCCAAGCTGTTCTAACTGTTCTAAGTCCTCAAACTTTTCATGTTCACCTGGCTGACTAGCCTTGTGGAGGACGATCTATGGAGAGGAACCATGTTGCCAAATATTTCCCAGATGCCTAAAACATGTGGACAATTGATAATTCCCATAAGCCTGTTTTATACATGTTGAACACATGTTTAAAACATGTTAGGAACAGTTTTCTTACATTGTGAACACACTCTGAATTGTGCGGGTTCGGGTCCGTCGGTTTCGGTCCTTGGTTGTTGTCACTAAAGGGAGGTTACTAAAGGGAGGCTTGTCCACCGCCGAATAACGAGAGCAAGCGAGAGAGAGAGAGAGAGACGCACAAAACAGCGCCTTTCAGGAGGATGCCGAGTGTGACTCCACCACCTTCAACACGGCGATGGCCGCGTGCGACCGAGGACACGACCCCCGCTTGGGTCTCCGAGGAGACGGAGGAGGGGAGAGGGAGCAGGAGAGGGACGAGGGGGGGCGTCGGCAGGAGGGCAGACAGGGACATCGATGCCACAGGTCGTCTGTCCCCCAACGGAGGCTGGGCTCACAGAGGTGTCAGACCACGGCCCAGGGAGGAGGAGGAGGAGGAGGAGGACGAAGAGGAGGAGGAGGAGGAGGAGGAGGAGGAGGGCCTTGGCCGGGAAGGCCTTCACGATGGTCTTGGCCGGCTTCGCTTCCACCATGACGACAAGCTTGGCGAACCTTTCGCGCGAGGACGCTGACCTTGCACGGCCATATAGGTCCTTTTGGGATCGGAGGGTTTCTCCGCGGGTGCTCATCGTAAGCCTGGGCGGGCAGCCAGGGCTGAGGCCATGAAGAGGCTCGCGCGGACATTCGCACGTAAGCTGCCCGGGTAAGGCCGCGCGTCAGCGCATTCGTTTTCATTCGGTGTGCCAGGATGGCGGCCTGCATATGGCATCGCGCACAGTCGCCGCGACGTCGTGCGTGAGACCCCTTTCTCTTCATCGCGCACTTGTCGGCCCACGCCGCGTGGCGTGGTGCCTGAAACGTGCTCACGACAACAATCCATGATCAGGGCTGTCCACGATCCGATCGACGCGGCCATTCGTTCCAACTCCTGCGAGCGGCACCGGCCAAGTCGATGAGCCACCACTGGGAGCGAGGCACTTCGCCGCTGCTTGCAGCTGCGGGCTCGCTCGCGCAGGGCTTCGCACTCGCGCAGGGCCTTGCAGGGCCAGCGCCACATGGGGCTCCTCAGCGCGCGCGGCAGTCTCGCAAGGCCACCGAGGGGTGCATGTCCGTTCCTCCCCGCACCCGTTGGATGACCAGTCCAGCCGTCGGGCCAAGTCGCGTGTCGAAGTACCCCTGCGAGGCCGCCGCATACGGCTTTTCCATTCGATTCCCGAAGGGAGAGCGAAGGGGAAAGGGAGGAGTGGAGGAGGCGGAGGAGGAGGAGGAGAGGGAGGGCGGGAGGGAGGGAGGGAGAAGAGCAGCAAGAGGAGAAGTAGGGCCCGAGGGAGGGAGGACAAGGGAAGAATTAAAACAACAACAAGAAGAAGAACAACAACGAGGTCGACGAGGAGGAAGAGGAAAGGGAGGAGAGAAAAAGGAGGATGAGAGGGAGGGCGGGAGGGAGGGGGGAGAAGAGTAGGAAGAGGAGAAGGAGGGCCAGATGGAACGAGGGAGAGAAGGAGGACGAGGAGGAGCACGAGGACGGCGACGGAAACGAGGAGAAGAAGAGGAGGAACGAGGGAGGAGAGGAAGAGGAGGAGGAGGACGAGGACGGGGAAAGGGGGAGGGATGAGAGGAAGAGGAAGGGGAGGAACAGGACGAGGACGGCGACGGGGACGGGGACGAGGGGTGGAAAGGAGGAGAGGCAGAGGAGGATGAGAGGGAGGGCGGGAGGGAGGGAGGGAGGGGACTAGGAAGATGAGAAAAGAGGGCCGGAGGGAGGGAGGAGAAGGCAAAACAACAAAACACAAACAGAATACAGTAACAACAACGAGGACGAGGACGAAGAGGAGAGGAAGGAGAGGAAGAGGAGGATGAGAGGGAGGGAGGGGGGGAGAAGAGCAGGAAGAGGAGAAGGAGGGCCGGAGGGAGGGAGGACAAGGAAAAACCAAACACACAGAAGACAAGGAAAGCAACATAACAAACACAAATAGCAAGAACAACAACGAGGACGAGGAGGAAGAGGAGCTGCGCCTCCGAGCCGCAGCCCTCGGCCGCGAGAGGCGGCAAGTGGGAGCTCGCGCTGCGCCTGCTGCGGCGCATGGCGGAGGCGTGCCGCCGGCGCGGTCGCCGCCACCACTCCTCCTCCTCCTCCTCCTCCTTCTCCTCCTCCTCCTCCTCCTCCTCCTCATTCTCCTCCTCCTCCTCCTTCCACCTCCTCCTCTTTCCTCCTCCCCTCTCCTCATGCTCCTCCTCTCCTCTTGCTCCTCCTCCGCTCAACTGTGGCTCCGTCCTCCCTCCTCATCCACTTGGCCTCCTGTATCACCTGCCTCCCAATCAGGTGACGGTCGTCCTGCGGTAGCCGTGCGGCGAGCCGGGTGCGCTAATCTTCATCCTCCTCCATTTTCTCCCTCCTCCTTCCTCCTCCTCTGATTCTCTCCGCATTCTCCCAACCCCCCTCCCCCTCGGCCTCCTCCTTCTTTTTCTTCTCCTCCTTCTCCTCCTCTTTCTCTTTCTCATTCTCCTCCTCCTGCTCCTCTTGCTCCTCCTCCTCCTCCTTCTCCTCCTCCTCCGCCTTCTCTATCCCTTTCCTTATACATAGCTTTTCCCTGTCGCATCCCGAGGCCAGTTTTTAGGGCGGTCCGGGCCTTTCGCCTGAGACCTCCTCAGCATTTCTGATTCCGAAGTCTAAAAATTGACAACAGCTTCACAGATGGAGGGCGGGTCGCTTTCAAAATGTTGCTGCCGCTTTAGCGCGGCGCACATTCATTTCAGCAAATTGGAAGAGTTTCACGGATTGGGGGCGGGTCGTTTTCAAAATGTGGTTCTCGCCTGAGCGCCTCGCGCATTCATTCAGCACGCCTTCAAGAGTCTCACGGACTCCCATCATCATCGTGCCAGAAATAGTGTTTGGAAAAGATTGGGGTTCTTGCGAGTGCAACAGTTATGTTGGTTCGCTGTGTTGAAGTCCAAGGAATGGCGTTCTGGCGCGACTCTGGACCGCCAGGACGCAACAGTCAGGTTGATCCGTGGCGTTGGAATCCCGGGAACAATGTTTTGACATCTTTCATGGTATTCAAACGGTTGTCGTCCAACGATGCAGTTAACTCAATGGAAGAGAGAGCTTGAGAGGGTTTATTCCAACATCGTGGGTGACCTTTGGGTTTACAACACTGGTCCTCCTCCTCATCCTCCTGCTCCTCCTCCGCTTCCCCCCCCCCCTCCGCCTCCTCCCCCTCCGCCTCCTCCTCCTCCTCACCTCCTCCACGTCCCCCCTCCCTCCTCCCCCCCTCCTCTTCTTCTAGTCGCCTCTCCTTCCCTCCTCCTGATCCTCCTCCTCATCTTCCTCCCCCACCACCTCCTCCATCTCCGCTCCTCCTCCTCCTCCTGATCCTCCTCCTGCTCTTCCTCCCCCCCTCCCCTCCCCCCTCCTCATTCCTCCTCCCCACCTCCTCCTCCTCCTCCTCCTCTCCTCCTGCACCTCCTGTTCCTCCTCCTCCTCCTCCACTTTCCCCTCCTCTTACCTCCTCCTCTATCCCTCCTCTTGCCTCCTCCGTCCTCCTCTCCACCTCCACCTCCTCCTCCCCCCCTCCTCCACCCCCCTCCTCTCCTCCTCCATCTCCTCCTCACCTCCTCCTCATCTCCTCCTCCTCCTCGCGAGTCCTCCTCCTCCTCCCTCCTCCTCCTCCTCCTCCTCCTCCATCCCACACAAGCCTCCGTCCTCCTCCTTCACATCCTCCTCTCCTCCACAACCTCCTCCTCCACCCCCACTCCTCCTCCTCCTCCTCCTCCTCTCCTCCTCCTCCCTCCTCCTCCTCCTCCTCCTCCTACCTCCCTCCACCCCCCCACCTCCACCTCCTGCCGACCTCCTCCTCCTCCTCCTCTCCTCCTCCCCTCCTCCTCCCCCCTCCTCCTCATCTTTCACCTCCTCCTCATCCTCCTCCTCCTCCTCCTCCTCCTCCTCCTCCTCCTCCTCCCCTCCAGTTTTTCCTTTTCTACCTAACACTCCCTTCTCACCCCGAGGCCAGTTTTTAGGGCGGGCCGCGCGTTTTGCCGGGGGCTCCCTTACCGCTCATGGTTCTGAAACCCAATACGTTGCAGCAGCTTCACAGATGGAGGGCGGGTGTTTTTTCAACATGTGACTCTCGCCTTAGTTCTGCGCGCATTCGTTTTAAACCTTTACAAGAGCTTCACGGATTGAGTGCGGGTCGTTTTCAAATTGTGGTTTTCGTTTTCGCGCCGCGCACATTCGTTTAAAGTCGCTGCAAGAGCTTCACGGATTGAGGGTGCGCTGTTTTCAAACTGTTGTTCTCGCCTCGGTGCCGCGCACATTCGGTTTAAAGCTTGGCAAGAGCTTCGAAGATTGAGGGCGGTTCCTTTTCAACATGTGATTCTCGCTATAGTCCCGCGCACATTCTTTTCAGACAGTTGCAGCGGTATCGCGAACTCCCATGATGAACGTGCCAGGTACTGCGTCCTGGGAGGATTCAGGATTATGCGGGTGCAACAGTTATGTTGGTCCGCGGTGTTGAAGTCCCCAGAAATTGCGTCCTGGTACGACTCAGGATCGTCAATACGTAGCAGTCCAGTTGATCCGTCGCGTTGAAGTCCCGAGAACAATGTTTTGGCATGTTTCACGAAGCAGTTCCCTCAATGGAAATGAACCGCAGTATGGGCCTATGAAGTGGGAGTTTGGGGGAAGGTTTATTCCAACATCGTTGGTGACTCTTGGGTTTGCGCTGGTCCTCCTCCTCCTCCTTCTTCCCCTCTCCTCTCCCTTGTCCATTCATTCCACTTGCAAATCAGAGTGAGGGGGCCGAACGGTCATTCATTGTCCCTGGGTGCGTCGCTGAATAAGGAATTCGTGGTGAGAAATAAGTTGTTTGCGCTGTTGCTGTTGAGTTCTCATCTCTGAAGAATAATTATTGTTGGTCCCCCCCACTGGTGCATACTGTTTTTTCTCAATCAAAGTGTGCCCCTCGACGCTCGCACCCGGTTTTTTGACAGGGAAAGTCTTCCTGCTCAAACTGGCCCCCTGGCCCCCGGGTTACAACAACAACGGTTCCCGCCTGGGATTTCCTTACAATTCAGCCAGGACCCCCGATCCCGCCCGAGACGTCCTCGCATTTTATTCAGGAATCGCGCTCTCGCTTGGGACTTCCTTACATTTATGCAGGAATCGCTCTCCTGGCGTTCTGGAGTCGCGCTCTCGTTGGAGATTTGTTTGCAACTTACTGAAGAATGGCCTTGCGTTGGAATTTCTTGCAATTTGCCCAAGCGCCGCGCTTCCGACACCCAGGCACCCAGGAATCGCGCCCGTTGTGGCCCCATGTGCATGCCCTTCGTGGCCCCGTTAACGCCATTTGTGTCCCCCTCACTGTCCTACGTGGCCCAGTTGCTACCTTCAGTGGCCACCTTGTTTTGCCTCTGTGGCCCGCATTAATCTTGCTACTCGTGCACCGCCTTCGCGCTCGTCTGGCCCCCATACGCATTCCCTCGTGTCCCCGCTTCGCCTTTCGTGCCTACTTCTGCCCATCGTGCCCTGCTGCGTTACTCTCTCGTCACGCTTTGGCGGCTCTCGTCGCCGTCGTCGTCGTCCGACGTCCTTCGACGTCGACGACGTCGTCCTTCCGACGTCGTCGTCGTCGGCGTGGTCGTATCCCCTGTCCATCCCCTCTTGGGTCGAGTCGACGGTCCGCGCGGCCGCCCTGCCGATCAGCGCTGCCGCTGGCCAGGCCCCCGGTCAGACGGCCGCCCCGCCGCTTGCCGGGCCCGGCCCTCAAGAATAAAGTATAACCCGGGGCAGTGTGAAGCGTGTGAGGGGCGAAAACGAAGAGGGCGGGTATCGAGGGTTTGGGAAATACGCGTTATTGGAAGCTCGAACGTATAAGGGCGAACAGTCTTAAAATTGTTGTTGCTGCTGCTGTTGTTCTTGCTGCTGCTGTTGTTGAAGATTATTACTTCTAAAGAATAATTATTGTTGGGACCCCTGGTGCACGGCCCCCCCGCCGCGCCTAGGCCGCAACCACATTTTCATCATTTTCGAGCGAAAGCCCTTGACAAAACGATGTGATCCAGATCCGGTTGTTTTGTTCCCCCCCGCTTTCCCTTGCAAAAAACAATATAAAATGACATTTCTTGTTCTAACATAACCAAACTTCAGGAATCCATTGCAAAAAATGACACAAAGTACACATTCGCGCGCGCAAGACGAAATCCTTCCAAAACCTTAGTTTTCGTAGCGATTTTAACATAAAAACATCAAAAACCCAATGGTTTTCCAAAACAAAGTTGTGAAAATTCTATCCCGCGCGCTCTTGCGGATTCGTAGGAAACCCAACACTTTTTTAACATTTCTGTCAAAAGGGCTTTTGCGAGCAACTTTTTCGAACTTCTGCAACAACGGTTGCGCACCTGCCAGGGCCATCATCCCTGTCAAATAATACCATGCGGGACACATACGTTTTTTCTTCGCGCGCGCACGCCGTCGTCGTCGGCCGCGGGGCCCTGAATAGTAGCCACGGTCGTCCGCATGCCACGAAGTGAAGTGTCCGAACGTCATAGGGCGGGAAGCTGGGTGTGGGTGGTGGCGAAGAGTCGTTTGGAAATTTGGTAGAGCTTGAACCGGCCCCCCCACAAAGTGGGGGTATTGCCCGCCTCCTATAAAAACCCTGGCACTGGTGAGAACGGAGTGTCCCCACGTGCTAGTAATTGTTGTTGAACATTATTTATTCTAAAGAATAATTATTGTTGGGCCCCCTGGTGCGCGCCCCCCCTGCGCCGCCTAGGCCGCAGCTACATATTCATCATTTTCGTGATAAGTCCAGCAAACGATTGGTACCGATCCGGTTTTTGTTGACCTCGTTGAGGAGCGCGAGAGAGCGGCGGAAGCAATTATAAATTAAATTCTGGTCTTAGTTGATCAAATTTCAAGAATCCCATGCAAAAATAAGGAAATGACATTCGTGTCCTCGTCAGCGTAATCCCCTTCTTCCTCCAAACCTTGTAGTTTCGTTTAACAATTTTAAACACAAAACAAAACAAAAACAGCCAATGTTTTGTAAAAAAAATTGTTAAAATGTCCTTCCGCGCGCTCTTGCGGATTCATAGGAA